AAATATTCTAAAAGAAACATAACAATATTGTTTTATGTACTTTCACTTTTCACGTATAGTATAACTACTCTTCAAGATTAAGTACTGTGTATCTCAAAAACCAGAGCTAATAAAAATTTTTCATTGTTATTTTCGTTTTTATCACCCCAAAATTAGTAGAAATTGACTAATTTACTGTAGGAAACATTCAAAAAATATTTTTTTGTTGTGTTGTGAATTGACTATACCGAATGATCAAACTTAACTTGATTTCACTTTAAATACAACAAATCCTTCAACTAAAACTTCAACTATCGCCTTACTATATCGCTTCGCATACCGCACTGTAACTTTCCCTTGACTGTGTCGATATGCTCGTGGCTAGCATTTATATATCGTAATCCAATGCGCTAAAAAATTTCGCCGGAATTCCATCGAAATCGGTAGCATTATTCTCGTTGCATCTAGAGCGGCAGCGAACATCGTACATTCGCGCGCTCTTAGCTACGTCACAATTGGTTTATGGCTACCAGTGGCGGCCGGTTTTATTTTCTTTAGAGCATGATTCACAACAATATTAATTTGAATTGTACACCATGAAGGGCAATTATAATGTGCATTAAATGCTCTAGGTAACTAGTGTATTCAATTTTATTAGGTTTGATTTCGTATCAATTACAACACATTAAATGTGACCATTTCTCAAACATTAAAATGAGTATAGTAAGATTGATACTTGCTATTGGGTACTTTTCTGTAGACCTATAAAAGAAGAACCATATGTAGTGAAGGATATCTATGTCACACCAAAAATTAAACCTGTAACTATTTGTTATTTTCAGTTATGGTCCAATGCTCCCACAGAGGCTCAGAGATCATTTCAGGAGATAAAGGCCATACCTGCTGTTTGGAACAAGGTAAGTTAATTCTCTCGTTTATGTTTCTTTATAAATAAATTATATCATGAGAATCCTGATTCTCCCTATGGGTATCACAGTAGATATCTTGTTATTGGAAAAAAAAGCTTACTGGCATTCTACTTCTTCATCTTCATAAAAAAAATGTGGAAAACCTCAAAAGGAAGGAAGAAAGCAAGTGAATTCAAAATAAACTCTTTACAAAAATGTGTAGATCATGTATACAAGTCACTTTCAGATACAATGAAGGAAAAAGCTTATCCGAAAAAACTACACCCACATGAACATTGAATTACATGTAACAAAAATACTGTCACATTGAACTATACGAAAACCCTTTTTTTTATTCAGTTTGTACTATAAATTTTTATGCATAATCTACACATATTTGTAAAGACTTTATTTTGAATGTAATTGCTTTCTTTCTTCTCTCGGAAGTGTCCCACATTTTTAATTTAAATTTCATTTTTAATGAAAAGTGTTGACATCACTTTCTAGAATTTCATTATTACAATACCAGTATACTTCTCAAAAATCACTTGATCAACATCACAAATTCATGAAGCAACTAAAGGTTATTCATAAACTAGTCAACATTTAAATGTCCCTTTTCCATAAATCCAAATGAAACTTAGTTATGAAGAATATTCGTAATCTTAACTCAAAGAAAATCAATTTTTTTTGCTTTTCACAATTTTTCCAAAGTAAAAATGAATCATGGGAAGTACAAAAAACAGAATTTGGAAAAAGTTCAGCAAACTAAATAAATTAAAGAGGACTGTTATATATTCCATATTTTATTCCTAAAATAGATGATAATTCATAACCTCTCAAAGTCTGAAAATTGATGAAAATTGGTAGGATATTATCAATGATAATTTTAAGGTATATCCTCTGAAATATAAATTTATTTATCCAATAGCTGAAACTAATCATCCTCTGACTTCGTTATTGGAAAACATATTTTTTGGTATCGAGAAAATATTGATACCTTCAGGTTATTTTTAAAATAAATATATTTCTTCAGAGAAGGTATTCGAAATGTCTACCAGTTTCTGCTACACACAGGCGACACCTTTTCTGAATGTTTTTTGCCGAATTATTTAGTTCAGTAGGAGTGAGAGAAGCAAAACTTTGCATCACTACCGCTTCCAATTCGTATCTAGAATTTGCCGGTAATTTTAAAATAAGATCTTTCAACCTTCCCCAGAGGTTGAAGTCCATAGGCGTAAGTCCGATGACCTGGCCTGCCAATTGGGTCCTTGGTTGGCTATCCAATTATTACCAAAATGCAGCCAAAAAATTGGTGACGATTGCAGTGTTGTGAGGCGAAGCCCCGTCTATACTTTTTGTGATCCATCGGTGGCAAATCATCAACAAGGGGTTCAATATTTTGCTTTAAAATTTCTAAATACCTCTGAGATCTGAGAGTGCCATTATAAATGAACGGGCACATAATTCTATCCCTGAAAACAACGGCCCACACATTAAATCCAAATCTAAATACTTACAAACACCCAAAAAAAAAAAGATAATTAACCATGGTTTGCCAATGACTACGCAAAATGTATCGCATAAAAGCAACGACCTTTTCACTGCCGGCTTTAGATTTTCTATTTGGAAGCCTAAAATATATAAGGAAATAATCCAGACAAGTGTAATAAATGCTTATCCAAAGAAATACACTGTGTTTCAATGAGATCGGAAATTATTAAATATTTGACTGGATCACGTTTATTTTATACTTACTCAAAAATGAGAATTGAAACTTCTTACGTTTTTAGACGAATACAATACACTTTTATTCGTTTATTGTATTCGTTTGAAAATGTCATTGTAAGACGAAACTGCTGTAACGTTAGTTACAAATACAAAGTGCTATAAAAAAAGAATGCTTCAATCGTTTTTCAAGGACAAAACACAAGCACTACAGGAAAATCATTTAGGCTCTCTCAGAACGGTGCCTGTACGAAAGTAGCGATTCACATTGGATTTGATTCGCTGGAGATTAAATAATCATATTTCTTGATGATTTCCTACCAGGTAGTAACGACTACATCTATCAATGTATTTACAAGTGTCCGATCGAAAGTTCGGTTTCGGTTTTAGTCGAGTTTCGGCAAAAAAATGGGTTTCGGTTTAGTTTTGGTTTCGGCGACAAACCTGCCGAAACTACGGCAGGTAGTTTCGAAACCGAAACTGCATTCGGGAGTTCTCGCGCTGTGATCGGTCATGTTCGGCGCGTTGAATTTCATACAAGCCACGAAGACATTTTGCCGCGTCCACATACCTAATCATGTCCTGACTCGTGAGTTACTTTGTGGTATACTTTGTTTATTACATAAATAATAAGTATCTGGGAAAGAAAGTTTTTGGCTTTCTACTACTCCATCTTGATACAAAAAAATGTGGGAATCTTTCAAACAAAGGAAGTAAGAAATCAATTTTGAAATAAGTAACTGTGTATACATGGATGTGTAGATCATGCAAAGAAGTAACTTTCAGACACAAACTGGAATAAAAACCCCTCCTGAAACAGCTACTTTCATATAAACATTGAATCACATGAAAAACAAATTATTTCGAAACAAATACTCTTATATGAACACAGAAGATACTATTATCTACTCACTTTGTATTCCAAAAATTCGTTATGGAATGAAAGCAGGTATCATTCACAGGAGTTCTATACTAAATGAATGGTAAAAACTTAGATGGAACACTGTCATCCTCACTGGTAGACATCGATGTTTCGCCGTAAGACACTTGCCTTAGGGCTTTTCAGTACCAATCTGGATGATATTATACGAAAAAACACACAATTCATTCATGAATTACGATTTTCAGGTCACGGAATAAGTTTCATCTACTTATGTCATCGATGACATCGTAATGACATTCTTTCACCTATTTGAAAGTAGCTGTTTCAGGAGGACTTTTTTTTTCTTCTATTAGTTTGTGTCTGAAAGTTACTTCTTTGCATGATCTACACATCTATGTTTAGAGTTACTTATTTCAAAAGTGATTACTTCCTTCCTTTCTTTGGAAGATTCCCACATTTTTTTGTATCAAGTTTAAAATTAGTCACTCCTAACAATATAATTGTTTCTATTTAATTAAGTTCCTATTGTGATATTTAGGTAACAACTTGAAAAAGTGATTTTATGTTTAATACTTTTAAAAAACCATTAATAATATTCAAAAAAAAAGATCTACACCTACTCAAATAAACACCTCACCTATTTTGATTATTTTCAAGGTGCAATTAATATTGTTTCTTAAATGAGGGGTTGTTATGTTGATTTATTGATTATCACTAAGTGAAAATGTCGAAGACTGCATAACGTTGTGATATAAGGATAAAAAAATAAAGGCTGACTGATTATAATAACGTTTTCTTTATTTTTTCCTCAAAACATAATCCTTGTAAGGAAATTTCGGTTTCGGCCGAAACTGAGACCGTTGCCGAAATTTGATTTCAGCCGTAAAAACCAGTTTCGGTCGGACACTAGCAATTACTTCACACATTGGCGAATGCGGTGGGTAGACAGTCCACGTTCGGCTCTTTTTCAAAATTTTACCAAAGATGGTGTAACCATAGCAAATACAAAAAAATATTTACACTGTTTTACTGCTGGTTTAACCTTGAACTAGCAAGAAAATCAATCTCCATATCAGAAGGCTTTAAGACTAGACCATATCCTACTCTATCCATTCCCCAGCAGCTCTGCCTGCCGGGTTCGACGAATTCTGTAATATGTCTCACATGTATGTCAGAAATTTCTCTTCTTGCACGAAGCAGAACAATTATGCCATCTCTAAGAGGCGATGACTCCTATGACTTCAGACCATCGCAGGTGTTTTTACAAATACTTTCGTGACCTGCGTTTTTGGAGAGTTTCCTCATTCTTCCACGTTTAGTGCGTTTCATAAGACAATCAGAATTGATAAAGAATACATTTCTCTTATTCTCATTTCGACTCTCGTGATGTTCATGTACTAGAATAGGGTAAGTGATAAAAAAACAAATTCTCCTGCTTTATCTAAAATATTAATTTATGGTTACAATGAGAATAACTCCGTGTATGCAATATGTCAGAAAACTTAAAAACGAATCTAGAAACTTACGGCAGTATCCTTGGATCATCCATCGACACAACTGCTTCAATATGAATATTCAATTAAACAAAAACACTTCAAAAACTATCCAGTTTGTATTCGTTAGGGAATTGAATCAGATATCCTTCACAGGCTTGTTACACAATATAATATATGAAAGAGGTAACATTTCACTTACATGGAATACTGTCATCCTAAATGGCGGACATCCAATGTTTCGGAATAAGATACTTGCCTTCTTGCCTCTTCAGCACCAATATGGATTACACTACAAGATAAAGCACTCAATTCATTCATAATATGTCGACGTCATGTCACGAATGAGTTAAATCTACTCACGTCATCGTTGACAGTATGTAATGACTCCAAACACTCGTTAATTATTGAATTATCAAATGAGTTCATTATTTATTTACTCAATAATTTCTCTATTGCTACTATGAAGCCTATGAATTATGTTTTTCACTCTCCTGAAAATACATTCCTCTCAATTTAAATAATATTTCAGTTTCTACAAGGTTTTATTCAACTCACAATATTTGTGTTCATGTACAACTATCTCCTTTTATAGCTCAATATGTAGCAGACGATCTTTTTGAAAACATAGGTACTTCCTAAACTGAGTTTTAAAATTATTTTTTTAAAGAAATACGTTGAAGATGTCAATAAAATAATTTTCAATATTGGCAGTAATACAAATTCCGATGTTATCAACAAAAATTCATGTAATGATAGTTCACCTATCAATTTTTCTTGTAAATCCATACCTAATCTTGGAAATTTATCTTCAAATATCCCAAAATCATGTGCATTAGCACAACATTTCATAGATAGAGGAAATAAACCAAATCACTCTAAAATCTAAGTTTCGCATACAGAAAAAATATTTCCAAACGCCTTATTCTTGAAATGGTTGCGATTAATAAGTCTTCTGATTGTATGAATAAAAAACTGAAATTGATAATCTCAACAGTATATACAGTAACTTACTGGAACTACACCAAAAACATAATAATAATGAAAATCGTATCAATCAATAACTCTCTTTTGAGTCGAAGATTATCAAATCATCATGAAAAATTACATTTGTGTTATGGCATTTGTCAAACCAAAAAAAATCCTATACATGTTCAACTTTCTTTCATCAATTCATATGTTCAACACATTGTTTTTCATTTTTACTGTGAGTATAATTTGTAATGTTATTCAATGGCGAAAAAATCCACAACTTATAGGCCCCGAAGAAGCTTCCCATTAGAAGCGAAAGCTTGGCAAAGTAAAGCAGAGTTTTGGTTTTGACTTTTTTGAATGACCATTTCCATATTGACTTCAATTTAAGAGCCACCGATAGACAGCTGTTTCAGCCTATTGGGCATCATTAGTACTGAGCAGGCGATCCCGATTGAAAACAGAATGTGAGTAATCAAGAAAAGTGCTTGATTAAAATAACGGCGTAAACGCAAGAGAGACACAAGTGAAACCACCTATTGGTGTGACACTCAAGTCAACTTGCCAAGTTTTTGTCAGTGATGGTGATTTGACCAATCAACCGACAACTGCAGTAGCAGTAGCAGAAATTTAGGAAGCTATGCTGAAATGCCATCGGAAAACATATGTCTCGCCTGCGTTTACGCAGGTATTTTTGTCAAGTACTTTTCTTTGTTATTCACATTTTGTCTTCAATAGAGGACCGCCTCTCCGGTACTGACGATGCCCAATAGGCTGAGACAGCTGTCGTTTCACCTTCTTATTTAAAAGAAGATGAATCGTTCAGTTTGAGTAGAGCCATCTAGATGGCAGCACAGTCTGCTATCGAAAGCGGTCGCATATAATAATTAGAAGTTATTAAAGCTTCAAATCTTTTTTGTGAACAAGTGTCAATATTAAAACATTCAGACCATTCAAAATGGTGGAATACTACCAACCCGAATTTTGTTCTCTATTCATGTCTATAAGAATCAGTTTTTCAAGCATTTGAGTTATTAGATGTGAAGAAAAACTAATCATTTTGTTTAATCACGCGATTGTATCCTTACTCTGCCCCTCTGTACGGCCTTTATCATTCGTCGTGGTAAAAGAGGTCGTGTACGGAATCTTGTCATCTTCAAGCCTGACTATTAGACATGTCTGTCGACGTTGCAGAGTTCGAAAATTATAAACAAAAAGTTGGAAGATGGCCAAAAATGCAAAGGGATGGTTGAGATGAAAACTTGAATTTTTCAATCTCTAATCAGCCAGAAAAACGTACTACTTCAGCAACCGGAATACACCGTATCCATTCACTGTGTTCTTTCTTGAAAGTTATCTTGTACTATTTCTGTTGAACGTTCTTGTGACTATACAACTTCCATATACTTCAATTAGAAAATCATCCTGATTTTGCATATAATAATATAATTTTCTCAACGAGGAAATTGATAATAGTATGAAAATTAGCCATTGTAAGGTATTTCATGTATGGAAGTATTCAAATATTCAATTAGTTGATTATCCAATTATTAAATTATTCAATTATTCAATTACTTCATCATTTTAATTAATTAATTCTCTATTGCTACTATGAAACCTATGCATTATGTTTTTGACTCGACTACCATTAAATTTATAAATTTTAAGTTTTTCAATAATTCTTCTATTATTATCAGTATTGCTGTATGAAGTTTTGTTTTTTTCTTAATTGTTTATTTTTAGGAGGACCTGCACAAATCGCGGGAGTGCAATCTTCGCCGATCAAGAACGAAGATGATGGAACATTTAGTCTTGATGTGCTCAGAGAAGCAATAAATGTAAACCCAAATGTATTTGAACCTAAAACTTCCCTCATCATAGTCGAAAATACGCATAACTTATGTGGAGGAGTGGTTAGTAATATTTTTAATCTTACTCTTCATCTTGCCTCAAAATATCTGAGGATCTGGGGTCTTTTAACCATCATAGTCTTCATAATTTCGATCTGGATACTGATAGAAAATCATAACCGAGGATATCTATAAAATATGTGTAAACATTTTGGTCTTTCAACATATTTTACAGCAGAAATGCATATTCTGGAAAATATCCGGTTGAATTTTCTGATCAAATAAGTTTTGGATAGATATTCTCAAAAATTATTTGAAAGCAGGTGCTGAATATATTTCGTTAGTATAATAATTGTGTACCTATAGTACTTTTGAACAAGAACCTTTTCTTATATACTCTCAGTTTGATGTGCAAACTCACAATGTTATTAATTTCAACACCAAATCATGTTCGTTAATGATAGTTTATACACATATTAATTCATCAAAATATTATTTTCTGAGATTTGGGAAACAGATACGATTGTTACACTTAATAAATACTCAATAGCCTTTCCTTGCCAAAATCCACTATTTTGAAGGTTTCATCAAATTAACAGTCCCAAGGCGCTCTAAAAGTGAACTTTCCTTAAGAAATAATGCTCTGAAATACTCTGGAATGCTCAGAAGTTTCTAGAGTTTGGAACTTTCATTCCTAATATCTTCAAAAACAAACCCTTCAAGTAAAAATGGGAACTTTCTTCTTGGATGGGGGATAGAGGGCTACCACATCATTGATCGTTTCACAATAATCTGGTATATTCTCGAACATTATGGAATGCTCGTGAACATTTTGAAACAAGGCAAAATAGTATCTCTTATATCACCAAAAGTTCGCCTTCCAAGTAAAAACATAAACCTTTTTCATGAATGAGGGATAGTTGGCTGTAATTCCTTTGATTGTTCCGCAATGACCTCAGGTGTTCCAAAACGTTCCAGACTATCGCCAAACATTCCATAGCATTCCAGAATGTTCTGGGATATTCTAGAATGTTGTGAAACGCTCTCAAATGTTCTGGACTTTCGTAGAACTTTCCATTGGGCGAAAACTCCAGCCTTCATATCTTCAAAAGCACGCCCTTTAGTTAAAAACAGAACATCCTTCATGAACAAGCTGCTATCCTTGCTAATCCATGTCGGTCGTTAGTCTATATTGATTAATATTTACTAGGTTGGATTCGGATCAATGGCACACTTGCAAAGTTTCACTTTTCCACTTCTCAATGAAGTGTCGCAAAAAAGTTGCAAGAGTTGAGTTCTAAACCTAAAATTGTTTACAGGTATTACCCCTCGACTGGTTGGAGAAAGTTGGTGATATTGCAGCAGAACATAATATTCCAGTTCACATGGATGGTGCAAGGTTAATAAACGCTGCAGTGTACCTGAGAGTGTCTCCTAAAAGAGTAGCCAGAGATGTAGACACAGTATTTTTTTCTCTTAGTAAAGGATTGGGATGTCCTGTTGGTGCAGTTTTGGCTGGCAGCAATGACTTCATTACCAAGTGAGTGATTGAACATTATTCTCGTTTTATAACTTCATAACGAAAGAACCCCTGAATCCTGAAATATTTGGGACCGCAGCGGAACTTGAAGGAATAAAGGGGTTAACTACCCCTTCCCTCCCCAATCAAATATACTCTTCTGAAAATGTATCTCTCAGAATTTTGCACGTTTAGATGTTCATGAAATAAACGAATATAAATTAGTGAATTTGTTGAATGAAAAAGTATAAAAGGAATTTCAATCGATAGTCACCCTACAACTATTCCAATCTGCTCCTAATTCTGCAGGTTATAACAAATGATGGTTATAAAAGCTTTTTGATGATGAAAGTTGTTAGAGATCGATTGTTTCAAGGATCTATAATGATAACGAAGTCTTAGAACATGTTTCAAGAGGTATGAGAAAAACATTTTGTTAAAAAATACACCGGACGTGTAGAAAACAAATGCCAAATATTTAGATGAAGTTAATACAGCTCTATAATCACATTTCAATTGATTGATGCAAGGGTAAAAAAGTTTATTGTACTTTTCTGGTGAATGCCAAGTTCGATCTTGCCTATTCAATAATTTCAAATGAGTTTTATGGATGTGCTTGATATCAAGCTATTCCAAAAGTTTTGTCTCTTTTTATGAGTCCACTTCAGACTGTTCCCGAAATTTATCCAATTGAAGACCAATAACAGAAGCCACGCTGCATCTGAAGGAAGACGACATGGAAAAATCAACTGGATAAAAATAGAAAGAAAAATACAGTACAGCAAAAGGGTCATTGCCAACATCTATATCGAATGATACATACACAACTGATTTGTAAACTCCACTGCATTGAATTTCAAATACTGGACTTGCATATTTGTGATAAGTTAATGGTATCATATATAAAAAGAAATTAGATGTATTAATTTGAAACAAGCCACCAAAGAAAAAGACTAAAGACAATGAACTATTTTCGCAACATAAGTTCTTTGACAAATTTGTCAAACTCACGAAGACCAGTTTCACAGAATATGAAACTTGTCTATTAAAAAAATCAACTTGATAAAAATAGAAAGAAAAATACATTACAGCAAAAGAGTTATTGCCAACATCTATATCAAATGATACATACACAACTGATTCGTAAACTCCACTGCATTTAATTTCAAATCCTGGACTTGGATATTTGTGATAAGTTAATCTTATCGTATATAAAAAGAAAATTAGATGTATTAATTTGAAACAAGCTATCGAAGAAAAAGAAAAAGACCAAAGACAATGAACTATTTTGCAACATAAGTTCTTTGACAAATTTGTCAAACTCACGAAGACCAGTTTCACAGAATATGAAACTTGTCTATTAGAAAAAAGTCTAAATTACAATATTAAACCCAACGAAAATTCGACAAATTAAAAATTTTGGGAATTTATGCAGATATCGCGTTAATGGAGACATGTTACGTCAATAAACATATTGCTGCAAATAAGTGAAATCGGCAGAAAATAACATTGTTTTTACGCGAGCTGATAAAGGAAAAACAGTCATAGCCATGAATAAAGAAGAATACCTAGAAAAGACTCTAGACTTATTAAATGCTGGCATGTACGATGGTCTCAGAAACGACCCCGCCCATTCATATCAGAAAGACGTCAAAGAAACTTTGAAAAATATTCATTGTGTCATGGATGAAACCTAAAAATTCCGATCGTTAGTCATGAACCCACAACCACCTAAACTTTATTTGTTGATTAAATTACACGAAGATAACTACCCGATAAGACCGGTAGTTTCTTTCGTCACAGCTCCTTCAGTTAAAATATCCGAAAAACTCATTGCAATTATTCAAAACCACACCAATTTCAAATCAAAATTCAGTTTGAGGAATTCATACCAGTTGATCAATAAAATTCAAGATATTATACTTCTGGATGATGCCAATTTGATTTCATTTGGTGTAAAAAATCTGTTTCCCAGTATTCCTCCTAATGAAGCGATTATTCTTGTAGAAAATCTATTGGACGAAAAGTATATCAATCCGGTAGTGAAAAAGGAAATATTAGACTTGATTACGGTGTGTTTGTCTAAGAATTATTTCCAATTCAATGAAACTTTTTGCTCATCTCATAATGGGAAACCCACTTAGTCCTATTCTGGCAGAGATTTTCGTGGACGATTTGGAGAGAAAAATACACAGTAACCCACTGGTAAGAAGTTTCGTGTATTAGTATATGTGGAAGATATCCTGGTATGTTTCACAGGAACGAACAGACAGTTGACTAACTTTTTGAATTTCATCAATTCTCTCCACCCTTATATCACTTTCACAATGGAAAAGGACGACTCTATAAATTATTTGGACTTGACAATAACAAAAGTTAACAACAAACATGATTTTTCAATTCATCATAAACCGGCACATACAGATATTATCATTCATAATTCGTCCACCCACCCGTATCAGCACATAGAAGCAGCTTTCAACAGTATGATCCACAGACTGATAAATGTCCCCTTTTCAGAGCGAATTTCAATAAAGAACTGAACATAATAAAACAAATAGCCGTCAACAATGATTATGATAGTAGTCTAATACATTCTTTATTATCAAAAATTTATACAGTCAAGCTTTGAAAGAAGTTTACCCAATTCGAAGAGAAGTTATTGTTATTGTTATTAAAAGTTATTGAACCTTAACCTACTTAGGCCAACCCACTACAAATATTTTAGATTTTCTGCATAGCAAAGGTGTAAATATTGCTTGTAAAACCAACAACAACTTAGGCATGCACATTGAGAATAACAAAGATAAAAGTCCATTTTGAGAAAAATCGGGAGTGTATAAATTATCATGTGGGTCATGTCCGATGTTTTATATACGTCAAACTGGAAGAACGTTCAAATCCCGCATAAAGGAACACAAATATAGTTTCCAGAATGGAAAAATATTTTTTTTGTTTAATTATGAATACAAGCCCCTTCATTTCCAGAAGAAAGGTTTAAAACTTAACCTGTTGGAGAGTATGGAAATAAACAAATTCAACAACTATCAATATCTTATGAACGATCAAACTTAATTGAATAATTCGCCATTATTGAATCTGTTCATTTTCAGGTAAAAATAGTTAGGTACATTTACGGTACTTTCGAAAATGATATGATATAGTTCATACCTGACCTTTCTAGGTAGATTCATTCTTTAGAAATTAGGCATACGAGTAGGTAATAGGTTAGAGTTAGAGTATAAAATGGTTATAATTTAGAAGTAACTTTTAGTTTCAATATACGCTTGAGAAAGCTATTGTATAGCGAAACACGTGTCGCGGTTTTTGTGAAATCCTTTATAGTGAAAATCATACAATAAACTATATTAATTAGCTGTAATATCTCAGTGAATACTTATTCAATTTAATCCAAATGAGCGGCATTTGAATCAGTGCACTTTTACTAACGTAACACAAGTCGGTTATTTCCTTCAAATAAGCAAGGAGATTGAAAGTGTTTCTTTTTTTGCATGGGAAATTGATGAAACTACCGATATTACCTGTACATCACAACTTTCAATCGTTTCAACGTCTTTTGCTTTAAATAGGTGCGGTATCCCAAAAAATGTTCGCGCCTCCGGCGGGCTTTTCTGTGTGCATATAGTCTTTGTGACTTTAGCCTCCCCTGTTCTCCAATGCACGAGCGGTCACTACATTGAAACATCCAAGACTTTTGAAACAATAGATTCTTCTATACCGTGTCACCTAAGCACTGCGCTAGCGCAGACCATACAGTAAAGGATTTGTATAGAAGAGGGCTATGCTGCTAATATTCACGTTGTGTGGCTGATAATGATGAGATGGAGGTCTAGCTAGACCCTCTGAACCCTCGACATGGAGCAGGGTTTCGAAACCCCTAATAAACTCTGGGGTTCCATTCTATTATATAGCATATATATTATTTGATCCACTTGAAACTCAGAAGTCATTTCTCAGGTGGAAGAAAGTATATTTGGAGAGGGAGACAGAGAGAGTCTAGATGGAATACGACGCACAACTATTCCTAAGATACGGCAGTGAATTAGGAAAATCATTGTAATATATATGTTTTGAAAAACAGATTCTTATATCAAAATAATAAGAATTATGAAAGAACTGACGTCATACGTCGATACGCTCTAGAATTATTTCCATTTTAATAATGGATGTTATTTTGTCTTCAATATATCAATATATATATAAACAAACTTTCTGCATCATGAACAATTGGAGGGTTGGTAAACATGTTATTTATGAACTATTTTGCTTAACACACAATGAAACTGCCGCACGCTGGCGAATCTTCGAAGCGTATATTTCGTTGACGATTAGTCATTCCTGCCGGAAAGGAACAGTTGGAGAAATGTTCTTGATCGTTCAAATGTGGTATGTACATAACAGACCCGTTACGAAATTCAGTTCAATAATGAATTATGATCAATAGATCATAGGAGGTTATCAAAATAGTAATGAGTGAACCAAGTTAAATAATTTCAAGAAGATATTGGAGGCCGGTATTTTTAGTTGTACTTGGAATACTCAAATGAAGTTATAATCAATTTCCGAAATTCAACACTTAAAGAACCTACTTAGACATAGTAATACCATATCCTATTTAATTTTTTGATAAAACATTATTTTTAGGGCACGTCGAGTACGAAAAGTATTAGGAGGCGGATGGAGACAGGCTGGAGTCTTAGCTGCAGCTGGACTAGTTGCTTTAGATACCATGATTGATAGGACAAAAATAGATCACGAACATGCCCTTAAAATAGCAAAAGGTGAATAACTTGATATTTCAGGTTTCCGACAATAATAGAAATTATTTTCGGGAAACAAAAGGCAATTTGTATCATATTATTTGTCAAATTTCAATGAATAATTTGAATGTTAAATAAGCCAATACGAATTTTTGAAACAGAATTCCTTGTCCTGGTTTTCTAGTCCAATCAGGTAACTCCATACTTCATAACGTCGTAACACCCCCCATTGAAATCAACAGTCTCCAAGTTTATTTAACCGAGTTACCAATAAACAGTGAAGAACCATTCACAATACCAAAGGTTCTCTTTTATGTAACATTTAGGTCAAAACAAATTCAACTAGATAAATGCTTAATTCATCTGAAACAGGCAGATTTTGAGAAATCAATTACAATACAATATTAATTCTGGGAAAACAGGCCATTAACCAAGATCCTATATCTGCACATTAAAAACCTACAAAACCAACACCTACAAAACACTCACATATACAAGAAAATCATCAGATAAAATAAAAATATGGGAGAACATTAACATAACATATAAGACTAGTAACTCCTTGGGTAGACATATGAAGAATAAAAATTCAAAAATGGACGAAGATAACAAATCAGGTGTCTACAAACTAATATGTGGATCGTTCCCAAAAGTTTATATAGGAAGGACTTCAAGAAACTTCAAAACGAGAATCTCCAAACATAAAAGAAGTTTTGAACTAGGAAAAACCAATTCCTTCTATGCTTGCCGCCTTTTATAGATCAACCACGATTTCAATATGGACTACGACATATCACATAAAGAAAATAAAGGACAAAAATTACACCTGAAGCAACCTCTGGAAATCAATGAACGCAAACATTTAAATTTTTTTCAAACGACCAAAAAGAAGTTATTCACTCATCAATATGAAACTTGTTTCTCTAAATTGTCAATAATCAACATATTTATAAATTACCTGTTTTTTTAGAATTAATACTGTATTGCTATTTCAAAATCTACTTATTTTGCCAGAACTAATCATTTACCTAATAATTTTTTTACAAAATACCATGATAATTGACATGCCAGTTTTTCTCGATTATTTATTGTAATTGTATTGTAATTGTTTTTCAAAATCTACTTGTTTCACAAAAATGTATCTCATTCAGTTTGAATAATCTACTGTTATATAAAGGACATTATAGAATAGTTTGATGTACAAGTACAACTGATTGAGCTACCGTGTAACGAAAAGCGTTTTTAATAAAATTCGTTGTGTGAAAATTGGATAATTATCATCATAGAAAAATATCTTTTTTGATATCGCTTAAGTAGTTTTGTATTGAAAGCCTAAAATGACCTTCTATAATGAATACCTATACTCTTAATGATAATATTAGTTATTCAATAATACCTCCTTAGAAACAATCATGCTGGCGTGGAGAAAAAGATGGATCAACGATACAAGCAGCAGGTAGATAGACTGCATACTTGGGGAAAGATTGGTATACACGAGTATCATGGGTGAAATAGAAGTGGTATGGATAGCGAGGATCTACCCTCAAGTGGAGCTAATTCTCTACTGTTATCAAACCTCATTCTGGACTATATTGAATATTAAATACGGGTTGTGCAGATAATTTAGTGATTCTTGTCCAGAGCAAATCTATTTATTTCAGTAAGGAGAAGCAGGCAGCAGGATTTGGTTATTATAACAAAATAAACCGAAGAAGAAACGCCAGGTCATAAAGATACAATTATTGGCGAAGGTAAAGTAGTTTTGTATTGAAAGCCTAAAATGACCTTCTATAATGAATACCTATACTCTTAATGATAATATTAGTTATTCAATAATACCTCCTTAGAATCAATCATGCAGGCGTCGAGAAAAAGATGGATCAACGATACAAGCTGCAGGTAGATAGACTGCATGCTTGGGGAAAGATTGGTATACACGAGTATCATGGGTGAAATAGAAGTGGTATGGATAGCGAGGATCTACCCTTAAGTGGAGCTAATTCTCTACTGTTATCAAACATCATTCTGGACTATATTGAATATTAAATACTGGTTGTGCAGATAATTTAGTCATTCTTGTCCAGAGCAAATCCATTTATTTTAGTAAGGAGAAGCAGGCAGCAGGATTTGGTTATTATAACAAAATAAACCGAAGAAGAAACGCCAGGTCATAAAGATACAATTATTGGCGAAGGTCAAATATCTCTGAGTGATACTGAATCCCAGAGTAACCTGGTGCCAACATTCAGACGTTTTGAAAAGAAAGGCAGGGAGGGGTGTCACTTTTGCTGTCCAGACGTATCTACTGAAGAAATAGGCACTGAAACCAGGCTTGATGAATGAATAGACACGAAATGATGTTTGAACCCATGATGATACAAGCATCTTTGATTTGCGAAACAAAGATGAAAGAAGCCACTACACTGAAAAACTAGGCAAGATGGAAAGACAGGATAAAATTGTCCAGCGCTTGATGAAAATCCATATTAACACCAACCGATGAAATTTACTATGAGATTTTCATCATAAGAGTTTTACCAAAATAGCCTTATAGTTAAAATATTACAGAATATTGAGTCAGTGAAGGTGTAAATATACATTTAACAGATATCAACTGACTTATTCGTCTTCAAGGTGGTATGAATGTGTACGCAATATTTCAGTAAACAATAAATATTAATTTGAGGCTTCACAAAAGCGAATGGGTCAGTTCTCAGGCAACCAATTTATTGGAGGACCACGAAAGAGCTTCGTGAAAGTCTCTTTTGTTTCTGGTGCCCCGGATCAGGAAGAGAATAAAAATTCAAATTAGGCAAAATAAAATATGTTTACTTCTGCGATGAAATTGGCTGATACTTGATGGAAATCCAGAACGTATTCAAGTAACTCTTCGTTGTGAGATTTTCACTGGACAGTTCACAAAAACGCAACACGTGTATCGGTATATGATGTGAAAACGCTTGAGGAAGCGTTGTATAGTAAAACACGTGTTATGGTTTGATAAACTGTCCAGTGAAAAGTTCACAATAAGGTGTTACTTGAGTAATTTTTACTGTAGCTATTCTGAAAGATAAAATGGGGGTGTAGTTCAGAAGTATTTTGGTAAATTATTTGAGATAACTAAATTATTAAATAATCAATAGTTTCGAAGTATTTATTTAAAAACGTTTATCGAATTTTATGTTTTCAGCAATTCATCAAATGAAGTCCAATATTTTCAAAGTGGACCTGGCAAAAGTACAAACGAACATTATACTAATGTACATCGAAGTATTTATTCAAAAACGTATATCGAATTTTATGTTTTCAGCAATTCATCAAATGAAGTCCAATATTTTCAAAGTGGACCTGGCAAAAGTACAAACGAACATTATACTAATGTACATTGATCGCAGTAAAGTCGACCTCAAACAACTGCAGCGTAGGCTGCAGACAGTTTTAGACGGTGATAGTGTACGTGCCTCTGTGAGGTGTTCTTCACTGAAATCCAATTGTGTGAGGTTTGTCCTGTACTACGAAATTACCGCTGAAGATGTTCAACTGGCGTGTGACAAAATACAACTCGTTATCAAGGAATACGATGAAATATTCAGTTTAAAAAATGTCATTCCTCAATTTAAATAATTCTCTTGTAGCTTTTAAAATTGTCAATTATTTATTTTGCCGAATTTAGTTTTTATTGATATATGATCTCCAATAAATGAACGTATTTGTGAATAAACAAATTTGAACAAATGAACGTACCTTTTTTTTATATTCCTGCATGGTGTTCAAAATTTATAGTTAATTGATTCATTTTTGTACGATTACTCTATCTAGCCATGTTGAAATATGAGAATTACAACTTTCTTTGTTTTTATACCACTTGATACTGGAACTAACGTTACTGCAGTTTCGTCCTACAAGGACGAACTGATACAATAAACTGGAATGATTACCAAAATACACCCTTAGAGGGTGTTAGGAATCACGCGTTAAACGGTAAGACCTCGTTAATCTTTAGCTCGGACAAGTTTCGACTTCTGAGAGTTATCGTAGGGGTGCGACAGCTGGTTAACGGAAAAACAGTTTGGTCCTCAATGACTTCATTACTCTAATTTTGTTTGCCTGTGACAATGTGGGTACGCTAATCTGAAAACCTGCGAGTTAGGTTAGGTTAGGTCAAAAGTGAGTGGGTCTATTCGACCTCCACCGCAACCCGCATGGGTTTATTGTGGTGGCCTGTGAGACGGCCTCTTAGACATCGTAGTTCATCCCTACTGTAGTCCAACAACTGTTTGGTTTCAAGCTCCGAAGGATGAATGAACCCTTTGGAGTGAGCCAATCCTGGAAGATTTTTCTAGAAGTCCATAAATCTTCTTGCCATCAAGGTGTTCAATGTTTGTTTGACAAAGCCTTAAGCGATGCCAATGACAGGTTATGGTCCGATGAAGCTGCTGAGTCATCTATATACCTTATTGCCTTCCAGGCTAGTGTGGCCAGCCACACCAGAGACAATTTGTTGAGTCTTCCTATTGAGGAGAGTCGTTTTTGGCAATTTGCTACCAATTTAGAAGTTGCTCCGTAGAAGCCAAGACCTTCCAACAAGGCTTGACTGTCCGAGAATATTTTTATCTGCTTGTGTATGAAGTTGGATTCTACCAATCTCTCCGCACACAATTGAATAGCATAGATTTCCACTTGAAACACAGTCGTATAGGGACTTAGACAGGTTGATATCTCTGTCCTGGGTCTGCGACTGAAAACACCTGTACCATAACCTGGTGGTGTTTTTCATTCATATGTGAACCAACAACTATCTTCTTTTAATTTTTCCTTCTCCCGGAGGATCTAGTCCGCTCTACTCGGGAACAGTACTGTATAAGGCAATTCGTAGTTGACAGTTGGGGGCATAATGTCGGAGGTCATTTCATCTAGCCTCTCTCCCCAGAAAAATGTGGTGAGGAAGTAGATCTAGAAGTATCTCCGTGGCCGTTGGCGGTGTGGTACAAGTCTGTCTCTGTATCGCCTGAATCGTTTTCTGTAAATCCTTTGGCCACCAGTCAATTGATCCATACGTAAGTAATCATTGGTCTAACAATCATCACATACATCCAATGGATTTGTTTGAGACCTAAACCCCAAATTCTATCACAAATCCTTCGACATAGGGACAGTCTGGCTTTGTGTAAAACTTTTTCCGAGTGAGCGTTCCGGTGAGTAGACCAGGTCAATTTGGTCATTTGGTATGTTACATCCGCGAAGCTTATGTTAGTGAATTTCTAAGAATTCCGAATAATTGAGTTTACAACCGTTGCCTGCATAGTGCAAAATTTCTGTATCGTTTAGATTCGGAAACTTGTTTTTGCATTTTAAGGAATGATTTGGAAACGTCGAATCATTTTTACCTAGTCTGAAGGACCTTTCATGTACAACATACTGTTTTGGGAAATTTTAGCCACAGTGTCTCACATAAACACTATTAAACTCCAGATAGTTAAGCTTATAAACTCCAGATTTTTCCATATTTCCACTTTATCTTTCATATTAAAAAGGAAATTAGATAACCTGGCATGTTGCCTGAATGCCACTTCCACATTGTTTTTTCTGAAAAACCCAGCAATTGTCTCTGTTCTTTTACTAAAATATGTTAAAGTTACAAATTTCTGATTGTTTTGACTGGGAATATATTGATCTATAGGTAAATTTGAGACTTTGTTTTCCAACTAACTTCTGGATTGTGCCTGCGTTGAAACCATAATTCTGATGTCCTATATCTGTATAATCGTTTCCATTTCTCTATCTTGATTGTTAGCAGACAAAGGTAGTGAGAATGCTCTGTGTAACATTGAATTATTATAGGCTGCCAATTTATGGCTGTCGGGATTGAAAGAATCACTTGGGATTGTAATGTATGTATAGCTCGGTTTCAAATAAATGAAAGAATAATTGAAAATACTGAATTAAGTAAGAAAGCTTCAAACCGCGCTGGGTCTGGAGTGTTGAGTTGGATGGCTGTTTATGTCTTTACATACAGAAGCGACCCGATATTTCTCGCTTGCCTAACCAAAGACTTTTTAGCAGGCACTAATATTCGTAGTGTTGGTTGGTAGTCAGCAAACAGTTTGATTCACAGTGTGATGGGCACGTCGTAAATAAGCATCCGTGTTAGGAATCACACGTTAAAAGATAAGATCTCGTTAGTCCTTAGCTCGCACAAACTTCGAATTTTGAGAGATGTAGTTCGTAGGGGGCGACAGCTGGTTAACGGAAAAACAGTTTTTAACAGAAATTCTCCTCAAATTGGACGTGAAAGGTATTGTTACGTTTTTATCCGTGCTGGGTTGACCAATAATTGACTACACTGAATAATCAAAATTATCTTTATTTCACTTTAAATACAACAAACACTTCAACTAAAACTTCAACTATTATTTGAATGTCTATCGCCTAACTAAATCACTTCGCGTACCGCACTGTAATGTCCACTTGACTATATGTGTTATGCTCGCGGCTAGCATTTAAATATCGTAATCGAATGCCTTAGAAATTTCGCCGAAGTTCCGTCGAAATCGGTAGCATCATTCTCGCTGATTCTAGAGCGGTAGGGAACATTGTGCATTCGCGCTCTCTTAGCCAAGTCACGTTTGGTTTATGGTTACCAGTGGCGGCCGGCGTTATTTTCTTTCGGGCATGATTTACAAGAATATTGGTCCTGGTCCCTTAAATCCATCACGAGACGCGTATTCTCCGTCAACTTGGTTTTAACTTCCAACTTGTGTAGGTACTCGTAATCCAATTTTCCGGACCACAAGGGCAGGATTCCGTCATTCCGATCCGGAAAGCAATTGAGCGACGTGGTACAATACCACGATTTGAGAGATGTCAGTCTTTCCTGTAAGAGGTTTTTGGATTTCTACTTCTCGTTCTTCATACAAGCAATCCCAAAAACAAATCTGTTGTTGTTACTTGTCAATCCGTCACCTATGAATAATAGGAGCAATAGAAGCTATGTAAATATACATATAAAGTGTATTCACTGATAAATTATATGTAATGCTGGTGGAATAACGAAACACATAGTTCAAACAATTACAAAAATCTCGTTCAAATCTCATCAATTACAAAGAGATTAAAAAACAGAAAAAAGCACATAAAAAACAGAAGTTATATTACAACACATGCACAAAAAAAGTGCGGTTTTTGAATGAAATGGATAATGTGTATTGCAAGCCCATTTATCTCTTAGAGTCTATGAGGTAAATACGAATAATGCTTAATCTTTGAGAAAACGAATCATTTTAGGTTTGCAGCAAATCAATGGTAATAGTCAAAATCATCAACCATCCATTAACAATATAAGAACATAGGTTCTCACGACCGGATACACTATTAGCGAGAAAATCCGGGATGCTAGGCTGTGGTTGGATGGAACTCGTAGTAGCAAACTTTTCATCTGCTTGAAGTATGAGGAACGACTTGAGACTTCGGAAAGTTCCGATCCTTTTGTAGTGATTTGGAGTGGTGATATGGACTCAAAAGATGCTGTACCCACTTGACCTGTGGACTCGAAAAATAATGCATTTTCATAAAAGTACAAAATTTAGAACGAAATAGTTTTGAGTGGAGCCTGTAAAGTCATCAGGAGTTCGAATTTCCTTTTCTTCATGGTCCGCGACCATTACAGAGCAGGCATAGGAGCATTTCTCTTCAAGACAGCTGCTTGTGCGACTGATTAACTCGGTTTATTTTCGACACTGAAGGAGGTGATCACAATTCTGTTTCACCGAGTTGGCAAAATTGTCATAGTGGCATTCTGTATTGACATTTTTATACGATTCAAGTGAAACTTCATTGTGAAATTTTCTCTGGACAATTCACAAAACCTCAACACGTGTTACTTGAATAAGTTGTGGATTTTCATCAAGTATCGGCCAAATTCTATCACATATTTCTATACGATATATTACATTTGTTAATTTAACAAAGATTATCTCACCATTCCTATAGTGATATTATTGTTGACGAAAATAATTTATTTGAAAGTGAATACGAGATCGATAGTCAAAAGTGAACCAGTTTCCAGACTCAAATTATGTGATATTTGTAATAGATAGAGTGAAAAATGAGAATTAAAACTTCCTATGTTTTATACCACTTTGTATTTGTAACTAACGTTAAAAATAACATTTTCAAATGACTACAATAAACTTGTAGGACGAAACTGCAGTAACGTTAGTTACAAATACAAACTGGTATAAAAAAAAGTTTCAATTCTCATTTTTCATGATGATCTCATGCCACGTAGTGACAGCCAGTGTTCATATGTTTGGAAGTAGTTGTTTCAGATACTACCTATAGATACTATAATATATATCAAAATTTATAGAGATAATTATAATATCTATGTTTGGGAAGGATGGCACCACAAAGATTTTTTCCAAAAACTATGGTTCCCTAAAAATATTCTTTTTTCAGTTTAAATATACCTAAGTTTTGTTCCTACAACTTATAAAATGAGGTTATGAAATTTATTTGTGAGGAACTGTATAAACCTTGGGTTGGGATAATTTTATGTACTTGGAGAGAAATCATCCCCCTCGAAGTGTAGACACATGAAGTTGTTGATTGATTTACCGATTTTTAGTATAACTAATTTTCTATTTTTGGATAGATTCCGATCTTAGAAAGAGATGTACATGAACACATTTCATGATACATAATTATAACACAGCCTCACTTAACAATACCTTCTGGATTTACTAGTCTCCACAAAGAGTTATCTTTCAAAAGTATGGTAAAGAATATTACGATAGGTAGATGAAACAATGCTGAATATTTGAGACCACAGATCCGTATGGCAATAATTAACGTTTTCCTTAATTCTGACGTTCAGAATATAACTCTTTGGTCTTCCCGAATAATTAAAGAATGAATGAGAAAGTGTTTTTCCAAAGTTGTAGGTACATGAGATTCATCTATGACAATTGGAAATAATGCTGTGGGCGAAATATGCCACTTCATTGCCAAATCTTTCTTCCACATCGTCTGGGATCATCAAATTAAAATTTCGTTTCACGATTTTCTTTTTAGATATCATCTGAAAATTATTCTACATGGTTATGTTATACAAACAGCTCGAATGGAAAACATTAATGAGGGAATCCTCCTGAAAGTGTTTTGGTGTTAGGTACAGCATAGTTATCTACTTATACCTACAATTACAATACAATTAGTTCTCATTAATTCAAAACGTTATGATCAGCATAACAGTAGATATGGTCAGTGGACATATAGGTAACGAGATTTCAAGTAAAAAAAATTGGAAACGTCAAATTGTCATAAATATTTCAAGTTGAACAGCACTTTGGTGGTGAGTTAACGTTTGGTAACATGGCAACACTGCCACACAGCCTGCAATTTGCAATCTAGTTGAAAATTTGAAACATATTGAAGTCCAAATTTTATAATAAATATCAACGATAAATGTGCGTGTAGGCTTCGTCATTTAGAACTGTAATACATTTATGTATGCATAAATTACTTTTTTCTATAAGAATTGGTGAGTAACAGTTTCGTTATATTCAATCTCGCAGGGATTCTTTAAGACATTTCCAATAAAAAAATGTTATTTATAGAATGGAACTTAAGAAAGTCACAATATCTGCTACTCGAATAAAAATTAAATTATTTCCAAAGATTGATAACAATTCAAAGTAATTCGTTTTTCAGAGGTTAAGTGTTAGGTACCTACTTTAACCACATAATTAACCAAACAGTCTAAAATCCAATCCTCATTTTGTTTTGATTTATAAACAGGGGCGCTCAACGTTCCTCGGTAGTTATGTAAATTGACCATATTACTTCATAACGAGGAATTTGAACGTCAATCATTTTATTTTGAATATTAAATGAGCGTTGTTCGTGACGTGATCGCGATACTCTGTAATTATTAAAAAATAAACATAATATTTACTAATCCATGCATCTGAAAATTTGCCAATACATGTTTCACAACCTGATCAATCCTATCGGGTTCAAATATAAAAGGAAAGGAGAGATAGTTTTTATCAGTCTTACAACAAACTTTGTCAGAGTGAAAAAGGTATCAACTTTGAAAGTGAAACATGTACGAAAAAATCGTTAAAACGGACCTCGGGGCAGACGTTAAAATAATTGATTTGAGAACGGATACAATAAGCAGACCTACTCAAGAAATGAAAGAGGCCATGTACATCGCAGAAGTTGGGGATGATGTTTATGGAGAAGATCCAACAGTTACCGAACTGGAAAGAAGAAGTGCAGAACTCTTGGGTAAAGAAGATGCTCTATTTGTTGCTAGTGGAACTATGGCCAACCTGATTGCCAGTAAGTCAATTATTTACCTTGTCATTTAATATATAATACTTGACAAAGCAAATTTCACTCTAATAATTACCTATTTTTAAATTTTCAAGTAATATCAAAAATATTTCTATTAATCACCTATATAGTTTATTGTTCAGTCGTAAAAGTATAGAATAAGGTGAGGGGCCAATCATTGTAACTTTCAGATAGAAGTTGTTTGGTTTAAACTGTATAACACAAGATAATAACTTTTAATTGTTTAATTGTGTTTAGGAGTTGACTGAAATTACTCCTTGATCCAGTATTTACTGAATCATATCAAATAATCTTTGATTGACATGCTATTTTGAATGAAAACACATTTATTGACAACCCTGTTGTGGATATATCGAAAATGATAATATGCAACCATTTTTTTATCTACTGATGAAGAAGTAGGAAGCCAGGAAAGTTTCTACCTAAATTTATTTACTCCTACACATACTTTCTTTTTATTAACAGGTTTATTTGATTCATGTATGTTCGATAATTAAAAAATATTTAGGTATTATACTGTATATCAAATGAGAACAAGAATAAACACAAAGTTGGCAAAGCTTATAATGTGTTGAAATAAAAACTATGTATTTTGGATCTAAGACTTTGCCAGAGGGGCACAGAAAAGCATAGATTTTTTCATTAAGCTTTCAAATTAAAATACTTTTTTATTTTCAACAGTTATATTGTGTTCATTTGAATAGTTTATACGAGTTTAGGGAATTTAAAACTGCAAAGCCTTCAACTCTTTTATCGGTTTTAAGCATTGAGGCATATTATCATCATGAAATACATTTACAAAAAACTGTGTCACCTCTAAATTCAAATCCTGTATGGAAACATGTTTACAAATATAATCAAAATGATATTCTACGATGATTGGTGTCTATCATTAGGGATTTTTTCTTCAGAATCCTCCTAACTTCTGGGAAAGAACTTGTTACATCTAAAACACGTGTGGTGTTGCATTCCCTTTTTATTTTCAATATAATCATGGTGTTTTCATAAACATTTTTTCCTGTTCAGCAGAACTTGAACTTTTCTATTAAAATAAAATATTCAATAACAGACTTGAGTTAATGAAACCATTAACTGACACATTTTATTGAACATTATCAATATGAATATTTCCTCTGAACATTTTTATGACATCCAATGTTATCTAATGTTTGGATAACACAATTTTCATTTTCTTTTTTGTTCGGGGAACTAGGAAACTATTATAATGAAACCACTCTAAAAAAAATGAAATTGGAAAATCTATACAAAGGAATAGGGAGCAGAGTGTTGAATTATGATGAAAAATAACCTCTTTCATTTACTATACTGCGTAGCATTCTTGTGAATGAATTCCATCTATAACGAAAGTTTGATATACAAACTGAATAAAGAAAAGAGTTTTTTTGGATAATTCAGTGTTCATATAAAGGTATATGTTTCAATATTATTTTTCTTTTGTGTATGAAAGTTACTTCTTTGCATTATCTACACATCTGTTTACCCTGTTCTCTGTAGATTGATATTTTCATTCTACTATTATATCTGAAGTGTAAGTAACACTGGGATATAATAAATATATTTTCTCAAATTCCTCATTTGACCTCGCCATTTTCGATTTGTTTAATAATTTGTCCCAAGTTAATATCTTGAGAAAATGATTTTGAAATCAGACCACCCTGATTTTTTTCTTCACCAATGGAGTAACAATTAAAGTTGTAGTAAATTAGTCTATGAATCAGAAAATACAGAAAAATCATTATCTAGAAAAAATTGATCATGAAACTGAAGAAAGATTGAATAGATAAGTAAAAATGTTAAAAAACTGTGAAATTTTCATTGAGACTCAAGGAGCAATAACATCATTCCATAGAAAATATTATTAATGATACTCAGACATACATTTTTTGTTTTTGTTTTATAATACGGACATGCAAAAGGTGTTTGACCAAATTGATTTTTATATCCTCATTCAGCGACTATCATCGTTTGGCTTTTCTGAAAGTTTAATTGATCTTTTCACAAGCTATCTCTTTGACAGAAAGCAATACGTTGGACATGAAAGTTTTCAGTCCTCTTTGTACACACCTAGCTCAGGGGTACCACAAGGCTCGAACTTGGGGCCTCTTTTATTTCTACTTTTCATTTGAAGACCTGGCAAAAATGATGAACTGCCCAAATCTTCTTTACGCTGATGATCTAAAGCTATACAAAGTAATTGACAATTTTGAAGACTTCTTAATTTTACAAAATGAAATCGATTTAGTATTCGACTGGTGTTCCAAGAACCATTTACGTTTGAACATATCGAAATGTTACATTTTATCATTTTCTAGAAAAAAGAATATAATAGAATTTTCTTATGTTATTGACAGCATTCCAGTTAGTCAAGTAAATGAGATGACAGATCTTGGAATCACGTTTGATTATAAATTCACTTTCACTTCCCACATAGACCAGGTTATTTCATCAGCGAATCGAATGTTGGGTTTTTTATAAGGAGTACCAGAGAATTCAAGAATATTGATACGATTATAACACTGTTTAATGCCTATGTGAGGTCTAAACTAGAATACGGCGTGTTAATAAGGTATCCAATTTACATTTGCCACATACCTACATCATATTGATGCTGTTCAAAAAAAAAATTTAAATAAATTTAAATATCTGTCTTTCAAGGTCACAGAAATATATCCTCAGAGGGGAACCGACTATTCTATCCTTCTGAATCAATTTAATGTAATATCTCTGAATACACGACGACTTTTTGTCACAATCTCCTTTCTTCACAAACTGCTAAACAATAAGATCTCGTGTGCCCCTCTTTTACAAATGATCAACTTCCGCACCCCACGCCTTAATTCCAGATACCAAACGACATTTTACTGTGATCTTGTCAAAACAAATAACAGTTTGAAAGCACCAGTGTCAATACTTTGTAACAACTATAATTCAATATGTGATATGTGCGATATTAATCACAGTTCTCAAAGTTTTATTTTAAAATGTATTCTCACTAGAACCTTTTAACTGTGATCACTTTTTCTTTTCGCTTCTTGTGATATATTTCTATTTCTACTTATTTTTCTTTTAGTTGTGGCAATCTTTTTTTTTTAACTAATTATATTGTTTTGCATATATTTTCATCAACACTTTTGTACATTTCCTGTAATTGGGTGAATGCCTGTTGAAAATAAAATGCTATCAATCAATCAATAATAATGATGATTATTTTATTTATCAGAGTTGTTAAAGGTAGCTTATATAAGGGGGCAAAGTGATGAAAGGACAATGTGTCAATTGCTGCAGCAATTTTTACAACTTCAACTGACACTTTCATCTAATTTCTTTTTCTTTATATAATCTTATGGAGTCTTGTTGAAAAATGAAAAATTTAAAACCACAAAATGAGAAAACAAACATTTTGTCTGGTCAAGAAATATTCTTCAGTTTAATCTGGAAGCTTCATAAAAATGTATGTTTTTCAAACAAAGATGCATTGACTATTTTTTTTTTTTCAGTTATGGTTCACTGTTCTCAGAGAGGTTGTGAAATTATTTCAGGAGATAAAGCTCATACTTACCGTTTGGAACAAGGTAGGTAGAATGAAAATTAGTGATAATTATCTAGCTCATTTACATTGGAAATTATCACGTTTTCAGTACTAATTTATGGTAATAATATGGTAATTTTCATTGGTTCATTGTTTGATTAGTCCTACTAGGTATCTGTTATACAATTTTCTACCTGTAACAATTTTTTATAATGATGGACTAGAGTAGTAATTATCTAGAAAATATCATTTGGAGTTGGAAGGGAATGCAGTTTACCTTCAGTTTTAAATACACAAAATTTACTTTCACAATGTATCAATGTCATATTGTGCTTAATAAAATTCCTACTGTCAAAACAGTTGAATATGAATGATCTTTTCTAGATTTTTTTGAGCAAGTGTAGTGAGTTTATGTCAGAATATAATTTTTCTATTGATAATTGAATGAGGTGTTACTTATATCAAGTGTAATTGTTTGAAAATTGATCTTATGATATACATAATTGAAAATATAACATATAGTATACATGAATGAATGGAGGTTTTCTCCAAAATTGTATTGAACTATCATCTCAAAAATGATTTTTGAGTTAATGAAAAACCGAAAATACTTTGAACTTGCACCATCAAGCAAAACTACCATATGTGGGCTATTCAAAAAATAAGGTGAATATTCACATTTTGTGTGCTACAAATATTTGATTAGCGTTTTTTTTTTATGTTGGTACTCTCGTCTCGAACATATGTCTACATTTTCAGCTGTTCAGCATGTGTATTTTGACAGAGGCATACGGTAATTGTACTCTGAATCAGAAAAATGTTTACAAGTGTTGAAAGCTTTTCACAGAAGGTCGCCCTAGCAGCAACTGATGAAAATGTTGAGAAAGTGAAGAAAAATGTTATGGAGAATCGTCGAATCACGATGTTGCTGAAGATGTGGGCATATTGGTTGGCTCATGCCATGCAATTTTTGGACATGAAGTATGTGGCAGCGAAGTTCGTTCCAAAATTGCTGAATTTTGACAAAGAAAACGTAGGATGAGCATCGCTCAGGAATTTCTGAGTGACGTCAAAGACGATCCAGATTTGCTCGATGGGTACATCATGGGTACATCGAAACCAAAGTCGAATTGTCCCAATGGAAGAGCTCAGGAGAGCCAAAACAAAATGAATAGCACACCAAGTTCGATTAAATGTCAAGGTTTTTCTCACTGTTTTCTTCAATTACCGTCGCGTAGTACATCAGGAGTTATTGCCACATAGTCGTACGATTAATAATGAAGTTACGCTCCGCTTGCGAGAGGCAATGCGAAGTAAACATCCGGTATTGTGGAAAAACAATTCATGGCTTTTGTATCATGGTAATGCACCTGCTCACTCGTCATTGCTTGTTCGTAATTTTATGGCCATAAACAACACTGTAATCATACCTCAGCCACTATATTCGCCAGATTTGGCCCCCAGCGACTTTCTTCTCTTTCCGAGATTGAAGATACCCATGAAAGGACGGCGTTTTGTGACGATTGAGGAGATAAAAACCGATTCGCTGATTCGGTTTTCATCTCCTCATACCAAAAAGAGGGACTACTTTGAAGAAGACAAAATAGAAATCAATAGATAAATTAATATTTTTTAATAAAAATGAAAGTTCACCTCATTTTTTAACAGAGTAGCATGTTATTACTTGAAGAAAATTATTTTTTGTGAATGTTACTTAGTTTTTTGGTCAATTTTTTCGAGTTAATTATCTTCAACAATTATGTTTTGGTTGCTGATGAGGTGTTTCCCTTAATGGTGTATTCAATGTGAGCACATCCTTCCAGAGAAGGTCTGTCATTTTAAGGAATGAGTAGCAATATAATAAAAAATATTTTTGCTATTACAAATGAGGCCCTTTTCACTGTAGAAATATTAGATTTAAAACGTTTTTCATTGTCAGATTCCATTCTTTAAATACTCAAAAACCAAACCTTAGCTAAATGTGGCTTAACCATTTGACAATAAGCAGTGTGATCTTGAAATATCTACCTCATCAACACCAGTTTCATTACATGAAAATGAGGCCTAAAAGCAGTTTACTTGTTTGGAATTTCTATTATGGGAACATGCAACTAATAGCTGGGGAGTCAATATGACAAATTGAGCTGAGAACCTTGAAGAACGGTTTCACCTGCTGATCTCTTGACAGTGTTGGTTGACAAACTGACCCCCTTACTACCTTTGCCACCTTTTCAAAATATCAAATGCGAACCCACCTGGTTTAAAACATATATCAAAATCAATATTTCTCTAAAAATTTGTAGTTGAAATCTTCATTGATCATCTTTATCATGCCCGAATAAGGTGCTGTTCTGCGATAAGTTTCGAACTTTCAGAATAACAACTTTATTGATCTGTGTCTGAAGACTGTATCGAGGAGAGATGTATACGTACTATTATATCCAACAGATATTTATGCAAAAACCTCACAGAGTTTAGTCTCGCAGATGTTTCTCGTTCATCCAGCAGCAGGACCATGCTGAAATTATTCGAGTAGATCACCTACAGACCGGTTTCGGAATATTACCTCTCATCAGGGCAAGAAAGATCCGACCCAAACAGCAGTGTGCTTGGTACTTGATTAATTTTAACGCAGCTCGACTGCATATATGAAACCTCCGTCTAAAATAGTATTTCTCAAAGTGAGCGATAACGCCCCCTTGTGGGCGCTGGAGGCCTATAGGGGGGCAGTAAAGGGCACAGAGAAGATTGGGAGGCGTTGAAGCGGTTTAGGGGGGTGATGGCTAATTTAAAAATGTTTTTTTGCTTTTAACACAAACTTTACTGCTCCTTTACGCTTAACGAGCGTTTTCTCGTGTAACGCTATCTAGGGGACTAGACAGTAACTATTTCCTGACCGATAGTTGTCCGATAGTTGTCAAACTGTACAATAGATGGCGGTAAGCTTCAATGCGAAGCGAGAAGTTTCTAGTCTCCATTCTCGAAAGTACTAGTCCCGCCCGCTGCCTCATATAAAAGCGCACGCGCCATCCAGCCAGTAATGTCATTCGACGATATTACGACAACAAGTGAGTTTAGTTAGCGACTAGCTACGTTAAGTGAAGCGGTTAAACTCTCAAGGCTACAAGATCATTTGAATAAAATGCATTCAGATAAAAAAGACAAAGTCAAAATTTTTTTCAGCGGCTTCTAAGCAAGACGACGACGGACTCCGAGCTTCCTACAATATCTCCTTGCTAATTGCTCAAACAGGTGAACCTCACACTATTGGAGAGGATTTAATTTTACCGGCCATAAAAGAAGTAATAACTACTGTGCTCCATAATCGACCTTCAATTATGGAACGGGCACACTTGCAGACCGGTTTTGGGCTTATTAGCCACTCATCAGTGCAAGATTATGACCATCATCGACCTGAAGTCAATGATATTCCACAATTGAAAATGATGAAGATTTCAACCGATTGCTATTTCACACAGAAGTGCGTTGGTTATCAAGAGGTAACTGTCTGGCTCGATTTTACAATCTATTTGACTCTGTAATAGAGTTCTTGGAAAACAAAGACAAAGAATTACACGACAACCTCATCACTTCAAAGAATGATATTGCTAACTTGACAGACCTGTATAAATTATTTGATGATGTCACTCTCCAACTTCAAGGTGACGACTTGAATTTGATTAAAACAAAAAATGTCATTGCTGCTTTTGTAGCCAAATTCCTCTTATACAAGAATAATATCGGCAGACGTGAGTTTCGCAATTTCCCTAATTTGTCAGCAGTATCCTTCAACAACGACGACTTGCTTGTTTACTGTCAACATTTGGAGAACCTCCACAGTGATTTCGCAGAACGATTCCAGGACATTTTGAAATTGGAAATACCGGACTGAGTGTTGGATCTTTTTTCAAATGTCAACACAGAAGGATCACCCCAGCTGGAAGAAGAACTCATAGAACTGATAACGAACGAGAAAATAAAAATAATATTCAAAAATGGATACCAAGAATTTTGGCTACAAAAGCCAATCCCGCAATCCCTGGATTGTGGTCCATCGTTGAACGATTTTTGATAGCATTCCCGTCATCGTATTTGTGTGAACGTAAATTTAGTGCTGTGGCAACGTTGCTAACTAAAAAAGAACAATCGGTTGCAGATTACCGATCGCGGTGACTTACGGCTGTTTTTGAGTTAATTCGAGCCTGATATCAACAAACTTCTTAAAAATCATCAAATTCATCCTTCACATTAGATTAGTTTTAAAATTCAAATTAAAATGTTTTAATAACATGAATAAAAGTTTTCCTAATATTACAAAATGGTGTTTTACATTACCCTCATCAAAAAGTCTTATTTTCACATGACACGCATAATTTAATTATTAAAATAATGACTGCCATTGTGATTCTTAAGATGTACTTAGTAAAGTAAAAAAATTTGGGGGGCGCTAGAAAATAATTAATTCTCGAAGTGGGCGGTAGACAAAATAAGTTTGAGAACATCTGGTCTAAAATAAAGATTGTTAACTGCTTCATGTCCTGAACAAAGCCCCAAGTGTATTAATACTCTTACAGAAATCGAAATAAGTTTGAAGACTGTATCGAAGAGAGATACATACGTACTAGAAATATCTGCGAGACTAACCCCAGTTAGGTACGTTGCATAAAAGTCTGTCGAATATAATTCAATATTCAACGTGGTATCAGCCGGGGAAGTAGTTGTTTTCTGGCAGGCATTTACCAGAACCTGCGGTATAGATAGTTACGAGAGATTAATATTTTGAGATTTTATTTCGAAATATTTATTTATTAATACCTCTGGCAAATCCATTAAAGTATTGGCCAGGAAAATTTAACAAGACGAAATCACGTGATTCATGCAAGCAGATATTTGAAGAAAAAGACATAGAACAGTTGTATCTCTCTTCATATTAGAAACTGATTTGTGCGCTGAAAGGTAAGACCTCGATAATCGATAAAGTGGCGACAGCTAGTTAATAGAAAAACATATTTTCTAACAGACATAAAATAGTTTCGAATCTAAATTAATTTGGTGCTCATAGTTAAACCAAAAAGTTATCTTTTGAAACTTCGATTGTTTTTTATATTAATAAGAACTCTTGAAGCTTATTTGGCTAGCAGCAGCTAGCAGTGTGTAAGATATTATTGTATTTGACGTATAATTGTGCACATGGGATGTTGATACATATTTTCATTTAATTATACTGGACCTAGATCAACTGATGAAAGGTAAAACTGGAACCTCTGACGTAGAATAAATCCAAAACAAACACCTGTCCCAATCACCAGAACTGCAATACTCTTCTGTGTGGTTAGTGAAATGCGTGTAGAGAAGATTATTGCATTTCTGGTGATTGGGAAAGGTGCGTTTTTTGGATCTGGATCATCTAGTTTCTGGGTTAAAACTGAACTTATTCAGAAAATTTGTTTGGATACCAAGATCATTTACATTGTGTTCATTGTGAGTATGTCTCAAGTGGAAGTCTGTAACAGCTTTTCTGCTACTATGAGCATTACCATCAACCAATCGGATCATTTTTGTTTTGGTTTTTAATTATGTTATCACTAATTGGAACGCGTCACAAAGACCTCAATGGTTGATCTTACTGGTACTAACCAGTAGTGTCCAATTATGACTTGAATGGCCTACAAATTATCATATTGAAAAAGTGAACTTATCATAACTTTTTGTATATATTTACATGTCTCTCTCTATATGATCTATATATTTACATGTGATATTCAGTCGACGTTATCAGAATTGCTCTTCTGGAAAATTATATACAGCACACCAAAGATAATTAACAATCATCGATCTAGTATGTTTTTTTAATTTCAAGTTGCCCGAAATACCTTCAAATTCGTCAACAGCTCTTCAAGAGGAAGATTAAACTAAATAAGCGTACAGTGTTATCCTTATTTATACCATAGATACCTCTGCTAGGTACCTGCATCTTAAATGTCTTAAATTTTTTTTTACAATGTGTCCTTATGTAATGGTCAGGTTAATCTGAAGTTGAAATATTATTGCAACGAGCTATATAGTATACTATAAATGGTATTATANCATAAAAATCAAATATCAGGTAGTTTTGACTCCCCTCACCCTGCTTATTTCTGCCACTGACCAGGAGTCCGGCGACCCCGTCCGTAAGGCCACATTGGCTTCTCGGACAGGACCCCCAGTCCTTTAGCCGTTCCCCTATCCGCCACCTGGAGACGCGCCCGATAGGTAGCCCAACCCACGGGGTATAGTATACTATATAGCTTGTTGAAATAATATTTTAATTATCAGATTTACATAAGGACACATTGTAAAACTAATTTAAGACACTTGAGACGCAAGTACCTAGCAGATGTATATATGGTATAAATAAGGACAACATTGTATGTAGATATAGTTAAATCTTCCTCTTGAAGATGATAACTTGGTGATCGAAACACGTGTGTGTTGAAATAACAGTTTTGTGTTGGGATAAAACTCCAGTAATATTCAACAGATGGGCAGCCAAGCATTGAATGACAAACGAATGGAAATCGATAATACTACTGGTTTGAACTGGATATTATATATTACGTCACTTCTACCCTTGAACTCGGATATTTCGGTTTTTAATCAAGTATACTTCATTCATGTACGTTTTTATTGAGTTTCAGTATTAGCCAACATCATATTTAAACTTATTTCAAAATGATATAAGCTAAATTAAAACCATGTAATACATTCAAAGATAAAGCATGATAATTTTGTATTGCAATGAAACTGTTGCTCAATTAGGTTTCATTAAATATAACTCAAATGATAATTAATATTCTTGAACAACAATGATTCACCACTATTTTCTTATAATAAGTTTAGCAATCTAACATATTGCTAAAAAAAGAGACGGGGTTTTTTTTTTTCTGTTAATGTAATGCTTTTTTCTGTTAATGTAATGCAAAGTTTCAAATTATCCTAACTAGTAACTTCATATTATTATCACTATACAGTTCAGTCATAATTTATATTACAGGTGGCACAGCTCAAATTGCAGGAGTTCAAACTGCTCCCGTCAAGAACAAAGATGATGGAACTTTTAGCCTTGATGAGTTGAGGGAAAAAATAAGAAAAAATCCAGATATGCACGAACCTATAACTTCTCTAATTATTGTTGAAAAGAAATGAACTTTAAACGTTCAAGCCAGTCTTGAATATACCTACACAGTAGGTCAAATGGACTGACGCCTATCAGAAAACAACTACTCCCCTGGCTAATACCACGAAGGGCGTTGGATTATATCCGACAGGCATCAGTGCAGGAATCTTCACGAAAAATTTCCTGCATATGCAATTGGCAATACAACTAAACGAGTTGACCTTCAATTTTGGAACGGGTACACTTGCAGACCAGTTTCGGGCTCATTAGCCACTCATCGGTGCAAGATAGTGACCATCATCGACCTAAAGTCAATGAAATTCCATAGCCCACTGACTAATAATAAAGTCAACAATCTTTCATACTTATATCCAAAATAGAAACCAAATTTGAACAAATAGAAGAATTTTGAATAGAATGTACTTCTTATCACTATCTTTGATACTATCTTTCATGTTATCATCTTTCAGATTACTTGAACTTTTAATAAAAAATAATTCTTATATTCCACTTGTACATAGTGTTTTTCAAGCATCTTATCAATACAGTTGGTATGCAATAATATTCAATTTTAAAAAGGTCCGGGAGTCTGGATAACTCCACTTGATGTTAAGAGTTGTTTAATTTCTAAAACAAACACTGCCCCCACACACCATAATGACTACACAATTCTTGACTCGCTTTTCATCAACCAAGTTGGCTTCATCAGGAAAAGAAATATATAGTAAATGAATCATTATATTTCATCTCCTAGTTCTGATGTGTGTGTTCAATGCTTGTTTTGGATTTGTTCTACACCAGATAGTCCAAAATACAATAGTCCAAAAGTCTTCTCCTATTTTTATAACTTATTCTCTCTGTCACATAAGTTAGATTGGAAGTGATGAAATGATGTTATTATCCTTCTGGAAGTTGGGGTAGTACTAACAAATTACATAGGAGGTAATGCTTATTAACTAAAGTGTGAGTAAGTATTAGTAATATCAATGTTAAACTTTTGTCAATAAAAATAAATGTAACTGGAATGGACTGTGTCAAAACTATTTTGTGGACTTGATATTCTTGATCTGAAAGATTTATATCTAAAGCAAAACCAGAAAATAGTTTCGACATCTTTGCAATAAAAAATGAGTCATCAAAACAATAGTAATCCATTTTTAAACTGTTTCTTCAAGAATTTGAAGGCAGTGCTTATTAACCACAGCTTTTGTAAGTATATGTAATGTCAGCTAAATGCTTTTCAAAATCTATATTGGATTGATAATAAAACCAAAGCCACAAAAATCAATAATGAACATACTTTTTCAGCAATACATCAAATGAAGTCAAATATTTTCAAAGTGGATCGAGCAAAAGTGCAAACAAACATTTTGTTGATGTACGTAGATCGTAACAAGGTTGACATCAAAGAATTACAGCGTAGACTACAGACAGTTTTAGATACTGATAGTGTACGTGCTTCTGTGAGGTGCTCATCGTTGAAGTTTGATTGTGTACGGTTTGTCTTATATCATGAAATTACCGCTGAAGATGTTCAACTGGCTTGTGACAAAATACAACTAGTCATCAAGGAATATGATGAAATATTCAATTTGGAAAATTATGATACCGTTGCTTAGTAAAAAGAGGAGGTTATTTTTTTAAACGTTTAAGTTATTTATACATGGTAATATGATGGGTAATCAAAAACTAATTTTTTTATGTCAGGTTTTTACCAACTAGTTTTTTGAAAAGGTCCCCAATATATGTTTCATGATATTTAAAAACTTTTTCATAACAATGAAAATTGGCAATGATATTATTTTAAGATCTCATGTATATATTAGTGTGTACTTTTTTCATCAGGGTAATCAGAAAAATGATTTCATTTCCCAATCAATAATTAGTTATACTCTCTGTGAGGTTTTTGAGTTCGTATCCCACATTCATTTATGTTTTTCTGCATGTCTGTCTGTCATTTATCTAAATGAGTATTTTTCAATCGTTCAGCAAAAAGAGAAAATCATTCATATTGGTCAATGAAGTTTTACAGGTTGTTGTGATGGGTCAATTATAATATTTCAAAGTTAAATAAGAGTTGAATGAGAAACCAAATTTGCAAAAATTTGAACAAATTTTGAATAGAAAATCCAGTTTTCCATACTTCTTATCGTTATTTCATGTTTCATTTCATTTCATGGATTTTCATGTTATCATATTCAAGGTTACCTGCACTTGTAATAAAAAATAATTCTTATATTCCACTTGCACATAGAGTTTTTCAAGCATCTTATCAATACAATTGATATGCAATAATATTCAATTTTAGAAAAGGTCCAGGAGTCTGGATAACTCCACTTGATGTTAAGAGTTGTTTACTTTCTAAAACAAACACTGCCCCCACACACCATAATGACTACACAATTCTTGACTCGCTTTTCATCAACCAAGTTGGCATCATCAGGAAAAGAAATATATAGTAAATGAATCATTATATCTAGTTCTGATGTGTGTGTTCAATGCTTGTTTTGGATTTGTTTTACATCAGATAGTCCAAAATACAATAGTCCAAAAGTCTTCTCCTATTTTTATAACCTATTCTCTCTGTTACATAAGTTAGGTTGGAAGTGATGAAATTATGTTATTATCCTTCTGGAAGTTGGGGTAGTACTAACAAATTACATAGGAGGTAATGCTTATTAACTAAAGTATGAGTAAGAATTAGTAATATCAATGTTAAACTTTTGTCAATAAAAATAAATGCAACTGGAATGGACTGTGTCAAAACTATTTTGTGGACTTGATGTTCTTGATCTGAAAGATTTATATCTAAAGCAAAACCAGAAAATAGTTTCGACATCTTTGCAATAAAAAATGAGTCATCAAAACAATAGTAATCCATTTTTAAACTGTTTCTTCAAGAATTTGAAGGCAGTGCTTATTAACCACAGCTTTTGTAAGTATATGTAATGTCTAAATGCTTTTCAAAATCTATATTGGATTGATAATAAAACCAAAGCCACAAAAATCAATAATGAACATACTTTTTCAGCAATACATCAAATGAAGTCAAATATTTTCAAAGTGGATCGAGCAAAAGTGCAAACAAACATTTTGTTGATGTACGTAGATCGTAACAAGGTTGACATCAAAGAATTACAGCGTAGACTACAGACAGTTTTAGATACTGATAGTGTACGTGCTTCTGTGAGGTGCTCATCGTTGAAGTTTGATTGTGTACGGTTTGTCTTATATCATGAAATTACCGCTGAAGATGTTCAACTGGCTTGTGACAAAATACAACTNGAAGTAACTTTCAGACACAAACTGAAAGAAAGTCCTCCTGAAACAGCTACTTTCATATAAACATTGAATTACACGAAAAAACATTTTTTTTCGAATCAAATACTTCTATATGAACACTGAATTATACAGAAGATACTCTTCTCTACTCAGTTTGTATTTCAAACATTCGTTGTGGAATAAAAATCAGATATCATTCACATTCATTTAAAGTAGAACTCATGTGAAAGAGTATCTTCCTCAAATCCAAAATGAAAATATGAATTATTTTATTATTACTTTTTGTTAAATTTAACATTATTGAATTGAAGGGGTTATATTTTCAGGAGTGATTAATTTTTGTCTTAAGTTTTTGGCTTTCTACTACTTCATCTTGATACAAAAAAATGTGGGCCCTTAACATTAATATTCTTATTCGGGATATGCCTCACTATTAAATCTTGTTTTATAAAACTATGTTATAAGTCTTAGAAAAAGTGTAGTATTCTACTCGCAAAAAATGGTTATTACTCATATCGAATGATTTACCGCACTCGCGTCGTCAAACTTCATCATCACGAGTAATGTCATAGTTCTCTCGTCGAATAATATACTTTTATTCTGCTAAACGGTGGATAACTCACGTTATTATGTTTTACTTTATCGAGAGTAATGATTGTTTGATAATCTGTAACGATAGAATGAACTGTTTCACAAAGGTGATGGTTAAATTTATCTTCAAGTCTGGAAGTTTCCTTATAAAAATAAACATAACAATATGTGCCAATGGCAAGCAAAAAATACTAAAGACGTTGAAGGAAGACAAGATTTCTAGGATATTTTCTCTTTAAAAGTTATTACGTGAATTCCGCTAAACTTGATCTAGGAAAGCTAAATAAGGTGGTTCGAAAATATTAATTTCACAAAACAATATAATTATGTCTGAAATACATATTTGTGCACTTCTCGTTGCATGAAATTAATAAAAATTTCAGAGGATAAGGCACTCAAAGTAATCAATATTTATTATATACTATACAGCGTGACTCACGGTCGATGGTAGGTTAGACGTTTCTGGAAAACGCAAAACATGATTTTTCTGAAAATTTCACCTCTCACATTTCCTTACCTGTTCTATCGATCCAAAATATTTTCGGGATTGCGGCGTTGCCACTTCTATCAAAAAGTCCTAGCAGTATTGTCCTCATTTGAAGTAACAAGTTTTGGTAATGTTGAAGGCGCTTTTAAGATGAAGCCATAGTTAAGGAAATTATTGTGTAATCTTACAAACTTCCTCTCGTTCATTGGTGTTAATTCAGGATACATTTGGTTGAATTTCCTACAAGTTCTGGCAATGATTTGATCACACTGTCCGTGTATAATAAATAATTTCATAAGAACTTCGTTTGAATAATC